CACCCCCGCCCGGGACGAGGTCCTGTGCCCCCTGCTCTGGGTGAGCCTGCTTGAGCAGGGGGGTGGCACTGGGCGAGCTCCCGAGGGCCCTTCCAACCCTTGCCATTCTGTGATTTTGTGAAATTAGGATCCCTTCGTATTAATAGTGGCATTCAATACTGGTCACACCATTTGAATGTAAACAAAGGATTGAAAAATAGTAAAAACAGATAGGAAACCGTACCAGGGGAATAAAAAAAATACTATCGTTTTAGGTAAGGAGTGAACCAAGTACTGCTAAAGGTACCTTGAGCAAGCCAGATATTACTATTAAATTTTCTCCTAATGTAAGAATGAAAGAATATTTAGCTACACTTAAACTGTAAAGGAAAAGGTATCGATCAATGTTGTACGTAATGTATAGTGCTTGATTTACTAATGAGGACAAGAGTTTAGAATATTGGTTTGGCTTTTTAAATATTATAAAGAATATGGAGAGCATGCGATTGGGTGAGATAACCGTGGGATATACCATCAGTCATGCTTTCGGCCATGCGAGGCTCTCGCTCTTTGGAGCAGCCTGGGAGGATCCTGAAGGAGTCACGAGGCCGGCCGTGCCGTACTGCCTGTGATGTAGATGTTGCATGGTCTTCTGAAAGAGACCCGACCGTCATTTCAGAGCCATTGCGGTATCCCCCAGTTGGAAAGCCTGGAACACTTGAGAGACTCCTCTAACCTGCATGTCTCCACTGCAGGGAGAACTGGAAATTAAAAAGGGGTACGAGAGGACTCTCTTGTCTTCTTTACTGTCTCTGCCTGGCAACAAAGGTGGTGGTGAGGAGGACCTTCCGAGTGCTGAGGACAGATTAAGTCAGCTTGGTAGAGTGCGCATGTGTGAAGACTTGGTTTGAAGCTCGACTGTGCCAAGTCCTTTGTAGAAACTCTGGGCATTAAACGGGGAGTGCTTGTCGTGCACCTTTTGCCAACAGCAAGCAGCACAGCTGTTAATTTTTACATTTGTGTTAATGCCGAGAGCCTCTGAAATCCTAAATTGTTACGAAATGCATGTTAACGATAAAGGCCTTACATCCTTCCTTATATAGTCCTGTCATTTAGCCACATTATTCTGGACAAATAAACTTTACAGACAGAAAAGTTATTTTTGTCTCCATAAATATTAGCAATTCTTCTCAGCCCGCGTTGGATAGGACAGGCGATGAACCACCAACTCAGAGACGGTTTCCCAGCTGGCCGCAGCAGAGCGGTGCTTCAGCCAGCAGCCCCAGTGGAGGCGCCGCTGGAACGGGAGGGATTCCTGGGGCGCAGTGCCGCCTCGCCTGAACCCTTACTCATTCCCCTCTACCTGTATGTTTGAATTACCTTCTCTCAATCTCTGCTACTTCGCCCCGCAGAGCTTCTGGCGAGAGACGGGGAATTTGCTGGAGCCGTGGCCGTTTGGAGAGTGCCGTGGGTTGTTCAAACTTATTTCCAGAGAGTGTAGGTCTCTCTTCAGGGGTGATGGAAAGTGCAATTCTCAAACGCTGTGTTTCAGGTCTTTTGGAGGAAGGCCTTGGTCTGGGGGGATGTTCTTAATTAAATCAAATGCTTTGAGTTTGACTTCATAGAAAAGGTTTTTAAAGAATTGATCCTTATGCCCCTCCACAACTTCAGTATTTGTGTACTAACTATTGTGTCTGTAGTTTATCCCGCTTTGCCTTTTTTGCATTCCTATTGAAAGAATGTTTTTTTAATTCATCACTATTTATGAATTATTAGAAGACAGAATAGAAGAAGGAATAGTTCTTCTATATTCAGTAAAGCAATTAAACATTCTGTGTATTTATGGAACAAAGAAGAAACACTGGCAGAGACGGTCTTTTATGAGAATATGTGGGAGCTCTCTGTGGGGTGCCAGTTTGCCCGCAAAACACATGTAAGGCAATTTCAGGGCATGATGCAAAGCCCGTTGAAGTCGATGGAATTCTTTCCCATTGCTCCGGTGGACGCTGGATCGAACTTACCCATGAGGAGAAGGAGTCATTTGAGGAGACTGTTCCACAAACAAGCGCAACTGCAGGGTGCCGTGACTAGAAACTGATTAGGGAGCTGACATAAATTGAATGTCTCCACAAAGATCTGGAATAATTAATGTGTGGCAATTAGATGGAAGACAGCCAGATCCCATGATGCAGCTCTGTAAGGATGGGTTTACCTGGAGTATGTTGCCAGATGCTTTTTCTTGTTTTTAAAGAAAACTTCTGAGTAGTTATTTGCTAATGCACGAATCTTTGTAATTCAGTACCTTTTTTGCTGCGATGGACAAGATCTATAAACGCGCTTTTTCCTTCGATGATAATACGGGGTTAAGGCAGCCAAAAATTTTGATTGTTTCACAGGCTTAATTTCAGGCAGACTAAACTTCATCAATTATCTGAACTTCTACATGGTGCTTCCTGCTAGGCTGGGCAGTGCTGAAGGGCGGCAGTCAGCTGCTGGGAAGCATTTATGTGGAGCTGGGCTGGGCAAATCAGGGCTGAGTGGTTCTTTCATTTTATCCATTTATTTTATTCATCCCTCTGTGAAATACCGTTCTATTCTCTATACCAGCGGTCTGGCTGGAAAAGGTTAAGGCGTTAATTCAGCAAGGTTGTATGTGTACTTACGGTCATAGAGATATTCCTAGAAAGCTAAAGATAACAATTTTGAAAAATCTATAGTCATCACGCATCTCTCCCATATTAGAAAGCGAGTATGTGAATATATTATAAAAGGTCTATTTTGTTAACTAAGTGAGGAAAAGTACTTACGCTTTGGTGTGCATTTGTTTTTTAGGGAACAAAACCGATGCTTTAAAACCTGGAATAAAAACGGAGACTTCTGATCACCTCTATGCCATGAAACATACTTCAAACACTACTAAAAATTGCTCTTTATTAAAACAGTATACGGCTTCCTCCCCTTTTAAGGTGGATAGTTTACATCCGTATTCATCTTTAGCACATAAGCCTGGCATAACAGCAGTGACTAATATTCAACAAGATTTTTCAGTTCCCTACGGGTATTTTGAATGCAGTAGTAAGCAACCTCACGTGACACCTTATGTTAATTGTAAGAACTTTGATGTGTCGGTCAAAGATTATACTGGAATTTTGCTGAATGAGAAGATGAATGGTGTGCCACCGATTCTTCCAGAGGTCACTGCTCCAGGCCCCCCAGCCCATAAAGACCCCCTGCCCACTATACTTGAACATCAGCCAGCCAAACCGAATTGTCAGCTTCAGTTAGACAATTCTCCTTCTTCACAGATGATCAGCTCCTGTGATTTGTCAGTACCGCTAAGCTCGCCAGCAAAGGATGCAGTCGGAAACGAAGCCGACTGTTCCCATGGCTGCCCAATGGAAAAGGGCAGCTCCCATGGAGAACAGATGTGTGATTTTGACTGTGTTGACGAAAAGCAAAACAGTGCACTGGGACAACCGACTGATTCTGAAGAAAAAGCTGAGGAAATGTGGTCAGACAGCGAGCACAATTTTTTGGATGATGACATTGGCGGGGTTGCTGTGGCACCTTCTCATGGTTCTATCTTAATTGAATGTGCAAGACGTGAACTCCATGCTACCACACCTATCAAAAAGCCCAACCGCAACCATCCCACGAGAATTTCTTTAGTTTTCTACCAACACAAAAATTTAAATGAGCCAAAACATGGTCTAGCCATGTGGGAAGCAAAGATGGCTGAGAGGGCGAAAGAAAAAGAAAAAGAAGCAGAAAGATTAGGAACGGAGAATACTCAGCTCAACTCTAGCAGCAGGAAAACAAAGCAAACAAGTGAAAACAGAGATATTTTTTACGAAGACAATGAGTTCAACCAAATTCCATCACGCAGAGCATTAACAGTAACTAAGGATAACGTAATCACAGTGTCTTCTTATGCCCTTACACGAGTCGCAGGGCCTTACAACCATTGGGCATAGGTTTTAGTATCAAATGCCTCCTCTTGGTGCAGTGTTACACAGTGTTTCTTTAAGGTGCTGTTAAAGAACAAGTCTCGTGTCGTTTACTATTTGCTCATCTCAACCATTTTAAGGCTGAGGTAAAAAAAAAAAAGGGGGGGGATTTCTTCTTAAACTGTGACTTTAACATTTGGTGGTGCTCAAGCACATTTTAAGCAAAAAAAAAAAAAAGTTGTATAGTTTTAATACATTCTAAAAAAGATTTTGTTTAGGTTATTAACCTTGATTGAATCATTCAGTTTATTACCTTTAGGAATTTATATTTTGGTGCTTTAAATCAAGTCTGTTTACTACAAAAATCATTTATAGGGATTTTAACAGGTTCACATTTTATGGTGTTAAATCAAGTTATACAGTAATAGCTCTACACAGCTCTTGGTGCTTAACCACATCAAACAGTTAAAAATAAATAAGCTGAATTATTACTTCATGGTGCCATTGCTTTAACAACTTCCAACCATTGCTATGTAGTCCAAATTACAGATAAATCTTTTAGAAAACCAATGAATTTTTTTCTCTAGATTTGTCGTTATGTATGAAATGAAGTTATTGGTAATGATGGCTGGAAGTTGTTTTTAAGCTGTAAATATATATTTTAAAAGCACTTTCTATTTTTAAAATTAACTTGAAATAGTATAGTATAAGGATCATATTGTCTAAGGTTTGTGCATACTCTACAGAAGAAATCATTTTATTCTTGCTGTGTAGAGTTCCATATTGTTACAGCTGCAGTATGTATGCTTAATAGCATATGTGATTGTTTTTAGACTTGCCCTTTTTCATCAAAGATTTTATGTTGCATATAAACAACAGTTATAAAATACAGAAACGTTTTATTGTTTTCAAGAGAGTGTACAAACATGAAATTAGGAGATGTCTTGTCAATACGTGTGTTGCTATTGGGAGTTATGAATATTATTTGGTTTTTTAAAGGCAGCATTTGTTATGATTTCTTTGAGCAATAAGTGCATAAGTCTCATTCGTTTGGAGCATTATAAGTTAACATGACAACCAAATGTTCCTAATGCCTCAGGGGTAGGATTGTTTTGGGATAAAAAAATACCCCCTAGAGTTGCCTTATTCTATTCTGGAAAAAAAAAAATTAATTTGGGGAAAATACAAAGGAAGTGTTGGAAAAGTATGAAATTTCTAATATTTAACAACAATTTTTTCATTAAGAATAACCCACCTGTAATATTCACCAGCTTTCTCAGCTCTTTTTTTTTTTTTTTTTTACAAAAATGTTTTGTAAATTTTTTAAGTGATTTATACATTTCATGTAGAGAAAGGGTTGTATTCTTCCTTCCAAACACATGAAATTTATGTTCTCCGTTTCTGTTGAAAAAGTGACATATCATGAAATGAGTATTTGCTAACCCAGAGGAAAAACAGACACTCCATTGGTTTTAAATGCTATAGCATCCCATCTTCTTTCTGATTCTCCTCTCCTATGTATTTCTTTTTTAAACTTATTTATTTAAACAATTTACCAAATGACAACGTTAGCTAAGGACCGACCTCATCCTGCAACTTCTTCCATGAGAACAGCTCTGTGTAGCCATACCTGCCCGGTCAGAGCCAGGAGGACCGCTCAAGCCAGGACTCCTCTCGTGACTGAGAGCTGCAGGATCAGGCCCCAGAGACGAAGCTGTACCTTAATTCTGCCTTGGAGTCCTCCCCGGCTGGGTAACCTGTAGGTATAACGAGGTCAGAGTTTTCCAGTGCGAAAATATACTAATAATATACTTGATAATATTATAATGTAGTGGTGCTGTAACAGAGGAATACGAACTATCTAGATCTGCTTTATTTAAAACCTAGACAAGGTGCTTTTTCCTTGAAAAGTTGAACTGTAAGCGCTATATTTACAGTTTTGGTACGAAAAGTACATAAATTGTATTTTTAACACATAGTGCCAGTTAGGACCTTGGTGCTACAAATACTTAAATGCGGCTGTAGATCAATGAGACTATTCTCCTGTACAAACGTGTACACGTGTAGTGTTTGCGGGAGCAAGGTCTGAAGTAGCAATCACTATGTAACGACCTTGGGTTCAATTCCACAGATTCCTGTCAAAAGTAACAAAAACGTTGATGGCAGAGGATGGCCGAGTTGAACCCGTGCTTTGTATCTTACCTATTTTAAGTAAAATTTGTAAAAACCGGGTATGCTGCAAATTTTAGTTCAAAGCTTAATATTAGTTCAAATAGAGGATATGAAGGGATTGTAAATAATAATAAAACAAAAACAATATTATGCCATTGTTTTGTACCAGCAGTTTTATGCTTCTTGACTATGTAATATACAGTATACATCAAATCATTATGGTATTTTGTGTGCCTTAGATTTCCATTTTAAAACTTGTATATTTTTGGTGAGCCGAAGATTAGTAAGAATTCCAGCTGTCCCTACAGTAAGTAGTACTGTACGTTCTCTAGCTGTTCCATTCATGTATTTGCTATCTGAAAACCCTTGTTCAACACCACGATCCATCATTTACAGAAAAGATTAGTTTCTTGGTTTCACTGATAGTGCTGATAGCTTTAGTTTCTATAAGGCAAATCAAAAAAATCATTTATCATTCAGCGCTCCCACGTGAATAACAATTTTTCTAACAAAATTAGTAAGTTAGAGCCATCTCTTTACCTTTTAAAATGTTCAGATCATTAAAGTGGATCGTTTTTACTTGAATCTTCCCTTATAAAGGCCCATGTTTAACTTACGTACGATTGGAAGCATCAAGAGAAAACTGTTCCATTGAAAAACCAGCAGCTTCCCTCAAAGAAGTGAGAAACCGAAAGGTGGATCAAAAAGGATACCTCCAAACATAGCCCCTGGCTAGTCACCGCCCAAGTGACTGCGCCAACAGACGTTCAGTAAGTCAGGTCTACCTTTCCTGAAATGGCAATTTTAACAGCGAAAAGTGTATCTTAACGTAATAGTTGATGCTATTAACTGATAGGTGCTAAAACTCAGAGTTACTACTTTATTAAAGATTACTTACATGAGAAGAATATATCATCTATACAATAAAATAGCATTCGTGGTGCTCTTCCCTTGACTGTCTATCACGTAGCTCCTTTTTCAGCGTGTACCTACCAGGCAGGTTAGCTGGTCACTCTTTTATTTCCTGCTGTGGCACACGGCAGGTTGTGATTTGAGAAGCTAAGATTTTCTATTGCTGTACTGCGGTATAGAAAATGCAACTATTTACTGTTTTTACAACTGTGTGCTATTTATTGTAACATTTCAGAATATTTATCGGTCTTGTACACAAATTACGTTGTTTTGAGTAAGGTTATCATTTTGTAACAGTATTCGTCTCTTAAAATTTGTAAATCTGTGGGTCTATCGCTTTCCTTTGCAGCCCACACAACCACTTGTAATTTGCTCTTACCCCTTAACAAAGTCCTTCCAGGGTGGCCAGATCGGGAGCTGGATCTAAAATTAAGGAAGCTGGCTAGGTCACACCTGCATATTTTGCTTGGTTTCCGACAGCTGGCACTTGGCTCTGGTTGAAAAACCAGAAAACGGATTCAGGTGTGGGGTGTGGTTGGCTTTTGATCCTTTTTCACAGTAGCAAAAACTGTCGTGATCCAACATGGGACACCTCTGACTCCCCAGAAGCAATGTCTCTCATCCCTTTGTCCTCTGGGTCCAGTGCCACCACTCCACCCTCGCTTTGGAGGGAAGGAGCAGAGCTTCCTGCAGGAGCCAGTTCCCTTTGACTCACTGGGTCCCTGTTGGAGTTACTGCAGTCGTGCCCAATTAAATAGTGGATTTTACTCGTGCGGGTTCTCTGCGCTTACTTATTTGTAACATGCTGTTGTATTACTGAAAATAGAAAAAAATCTATAAATATTTTAGTCACAAGATCCAAAAAGCTTTTTAAGAACTTAGAAATACTTGTGACTTCCTAGCTGTAACAGTTGTATTCTTTTTTTTTTTTTTTAAGGACTTTCTAAGCTAACTTTTCCTTAGAAATAACTGCTGTTAACAGTCCTTACCTTACCTATGACAGTGCTTCTTTATACTTAGAACAGGAAATAACTGTAGTATCTTAAGCAACATTTTATGTTAAGCATGGGTAAATGACAACTTCTTTAGTACTTCAGATTATTTGTAACATACAACTGTTTGGGGTTTTTTCAAGACCTTTACAATATCATTGCAGTATTACACTAAATTGGGTGGGTTAAATTTGGGTCCTGTTTACGTTGCTGCAGCCCCATTGACTGCAATGTGCTCATTCATCAAACCTTCATACAGCTTTCATCTTTTAACTGGATGGATATGGAGACAGTTGACCAAAGTCTGTGCCAACCCAGAGACCCGTGCAACCCTGCCGCAATCGGTAGGTTTTGCGAGGATGGGTGGAGAGAGATTTGGAGTTAAATGTTGTACTTCTGGTTAAACACAGAGGTTGAAGTGTTTGTAGCGTGAGAAGTGATTCACGGTCTGTAGAGAGACATAACACCTTCACCTCAAGTTCCAGGCATGCAGGCAGGTCTCCTTCAGACCACCTTCAGCCTTGGGCTCTTGGCAGCTTTTTTGATTTTTCTTATTTGATAAGTTGTTCGATGAGAGAGATGCTACGGAAGCACGCTAATAAAGCTGCATCTTCATGGCTTTGTATTTAAAATGTAAGGTGAGTCTTGGCCTTTCACCTCCTATGAAACTTCCCTCACGTTGAAATGAGCTCCTTCTGTCAAACAGTCATCAGCTTTGTAATCCATTTTCATATATGTAAATATATATATGATTTTTCTCCTTTTTTCCACAGAACTCTTGTAATTTCTAGGTTAACAGGAAGAAATAACTGTGCCCTCAGATGTATGAAAGACTAAATTGCATGTCTACTTCCACACTTTTTATACGTAACAGCAAATTATATTCAGGCAGCGTTGAACAAACTCGTTCAGGTCTGTTGTGGTCGCTACAATTCAGATTAGGGTCTTTGTGACATATCTTCCATAGATTTGTGTTCTATTTCTTGCATGGAAAGTGTTTGCCCAGCTGCCATCTGTGATGCTAGGATCCGATCTTAAGTAACACGGTTAGAGGTGAGGAACAGTCCAATCACATTTGGAAATTCTGGCTTTCTTCTTAGTTTTATGAGGCATTGATCTGACTTTCAGGAGGAAGCGTAGAGGGAAAATCTTTCTGTAAAGCTGGACTGTAGAGAAAGTTGCCGTGATTATTGTGACACCACAGTACTGCGCTGCAATGTCTGTGCTACAGCATTCTTCTAACCAGTGAGGATGAGTTGTGTCATGCAGCTGTGGGTATACGTAGAAATTCATCATCCACATCTCCTCTGGAGACAGTAATCTCTCCGTTGTTCTCTGCCTGCGTATACTGGTTTAAGGAAAAAAAAAAAACCAAAGAGGAGGGAGAGAGCTGGTCAGCCTTTCTATAATCTGTGTAGACGAACGAGGCAGCAAGCACTGCTGTCACCACCAATCTGCTGCTCCTTCCCACGATCAAGTTGGAGAACGTGGAAAGCTGATGGGATGCGCAGCACGACTAAGTCGCAGGCAAAGCTGTGAAGGTACAGTTGGCTTTTGAGACAGCCTTCTCTGTACACGTTGTAGTTGACAGGGTATTTCTTTATGTTGACGCTTTTTTTTGGTACATCTGACTTTAAATTTGAAAGCTTTTTTATTTAGTCCGTGACACATTTATGTTCTTTAATCTTAAACAGAGTGGCCAGCGTCAAAAGTCCTGAGGATGTGGCTGCTTAGTGGAACAGTACAGACCGGCTTCGCTGGCTTCTGGCATTACCCGATGCTCAGTTAGACAGTTTTCACAAGTTGTCTACGTGCTGCTCCAGTACATTGCTGCGATGTTATAATTACATAAAGGAAAGAGTTTTATATTTGAGGTTTTCTCAAAAGACCAAGGATTTCTAATAATAGTATCTCATCAAGCACCAGTATACCTAGAGATTGCTTCTTCTAAAGAGTGGTTGAAAATACATTTTGTATTTCATTACTTTCCTATCAAACCATTTTCAGTTATTTCAGAGGACTAAGCAAAACTTTTTGTTTAATTCTGTTATTTGCACACTTGATTAAATTACGAACACTTAATTTTACATAATGTTGGGTTGTCTCCCTGAAGAACAATTCATTTGACTAGCGTTGATTGGTAGGCATTGCTTTCTACTCTGTGCAGATGA